GTGCTTGACCGCAAACCCGATTCGGTCATCCGTGGAAACTTAGCACAAGAAATAGAAAATGCCTTGCAATAACGTGCATTTTCGCACCATTGCAAGGCACTAGGTTGTCTTATTAGCCGCTATTGATGGTTTAGCGGTTAAGTGTCGAAGAATGCGAGGCAGGCATTACCTGTGAGTTTCCACCGGCAGCGTTTCCACGACGCGTCAATTCCAGCTCAGCTCGCTGTTGTTGAGCCAGCATGTCCAGTGGGTCCTCGAAATTCATCACGAGGGGAGCTTCTCCCGAAAATAATTCGGTAGCCATGCCGGCAACCGCCCATCCGGAGGGTTCTTTGCGAAGGATCCAGACAATTTCGTATGTCTGACGTCGGCCAGCGTCATCGACGTCGGTCCAGTTCGACTCAACGTGACAAATGTCTCGTGCTTCTGTCGTGTAGATCGTTTGACCGACGACAAACTTAGCTGTTGCACTTCCTGGCGGACGAACCACCATGTCGTGCTTGGCGGTTTCCAAGCGTGCTTTGGTCGTGAGCAGGCGGCTTGTCGTTGCTGCATCGCCTTGGCGTAACGAGATCAGGAACAAGTCCACAACCGCTTTCGGGTTTTGGACTGCCTTTTGGACATCGTCCTGAACTTTCTCGACGACGATGTTTTCGTCGGTCGCTTCAGGAGACGTGCTGTTCTGGGCCGTATCGGATGGATTGTTCGATTGATTGCAACCAACAAGAATGGTCGCAGCCAGTAACAACCACGCGTACTTGCTTCCGTGCATGACGCTTAATTCCTTACTGATAATTCGCACCGAGGCAGCCATTTGCTGCCCGGCTTTAACGGAGAACAGTTGGGAATTTCCCAAAACAGGGAAGAAGTGTCAACGTCGATTTTTGGTCAATTACTAACCGGCCCCAAGTCCGCGATCAAACGCGTCTTGTTCGCGAAGGTACACCGCCAAAGTCGACTCGAACGTCTGGCTGGAAATCTTGTAGCTCGGATCCTGATCGGTGTAGTTGTTGCAATGGGCAACCAGCAAACGATACAGGAACTTGAACAAATGTCGCGGCACGCGAAGCTGGCGAAATGCCTCGAAAATACGTTGTTTCGAGATACTTTCGTCAAACATGTCCTGCAGGGAAGGGGCCTCGCCGTTGGAGACTGCCTGCACGCGAGCACTTGCGACGTCGTAGAGTGCTTCGCTTGTCCACTGCAGCGACGGAATCATGTTCTGCTTGTCGAGACGTGCTCGTTGATAGAACTCTTTGTTCTCGCGTTCAACGAACTGCTGCAGTTCAATCGGCAGCAGCAGTTTCACGCCG